TAATGAAAGTTCCCGCTGTAACAAAACATAGAAGAAAAGATGAGCCCCCTCCTCTCCTGCCACCAGCACGGCCCTGGGGGGCTGCCAACCCAGCAGGAAGGCGCAGGGAACCAAGATGCCAGATCTGGAGGAAGCAGGACAAACAGTAAAATTAACAGTGAGTCGGCATGTACGCATCTCTATGTATCAACGATTTAGAAATCTAAAATTTGAATTACAGGGTCTCCCTGTATAGTGCAGGCTGGCCTTGAACTCACTTATGTAGCCCAGACTGGCCTGGAACTCAAGGCGAACCTCCTGCCTCTGCCCTCCAAGATTGTGTGCTACCACATCCAACAAAAATTTAAATTCCTAATTTAAAATGTAAAGAAGATAAGACCCCCCCAAAAAAAAACCCTCTAAAACATTATTGGGAAAAATTGTAAACAACCTAAATAAATTGGGGGCTATTCCACATTCTTCTACTGGAAAACTCAATGTTGTAAAGCTATTATTTCCCCTAAACAGTTGTATTAAAACCGCAAACTTGTGTGGGTGTTCAGAAAGCCAGTGGCCACCAAGAAGCAGCACGAGGGGGAGGCTCGTCCCCGCCTCAGTCCGGGCCTCCCGATGCAGGACCCTCAGTGCAGACAGCCAGGCGGGGGACAGGTGGGGGTGGTGGAGCGGGCCGTGAACATCACCGTGGCCTGCAGAGCTGCTGTTCTGTCCTGGACAAAAACCAAGTCGGGAGGGGAGATGCAGACGCCAGGCTCCGAGAGGCTGAGAGGCGCTGTCATCAGAGCAGGTGGGACCCTAGTGTGGGCCTCAGGAGCCAGGCTGCGGCTAGCGAGTCGCCACCCGTGCCCAGGGGACAGCAAGCCCCGGCAGGAATGAGGCCATGGACTGCTCCTCCCCTGCAGCCAGCCGGCAGAGCCCCGCCCACCAGAGGGCCCGCTAGCAAGGAATGTCCGGTGTAGGCTGTGGGCTGGATAACAGGTCTAAGGCAGCAGGAAGGGCATCTGGATGACAGAAAGTACTCCCGAGGAGAGGAGAGCGCTACACAACCACTGCAGTGCCCCAGAACTGGGGCACCCCCTTCACGCGTGATGGGCAGTGGAAAAGCCAGGCGGTGCCCACAGCTTCCATGGGTGATGGAGCCGCTGCCAACCTGCTGGCCAGAGCTAGCCAACGAGTCCTATTGGACTTTTGAACTAAAAATGTCTAACACAACAACAATACTGAAACTCACAACGCACCCTGCCCCAGAGACTGGAAGAGCTGTCCTGCCAAACCTCTCATGCTTACTGGCATCCTGGCCAGGGCATCATAGCTGGCACCTCCCAGGAAGCGCTCGGAAATAACCCCATAGTGAATCTGAGTTTTCGCCCTTGCACTCTGCAAAGAGCAGAGAAAATCAAGAGTTCAACACAGAGACACAAGGCTGGGTGTGGCGGGCTCCGCTTCCTCCTGCATCTGGTGCCACCCACAGTGCAGGCAGGGCCAGGTAGCAGCAGCTGGGGGCAGCAGGCACAGGGAGCTGCTCAGGTCTCTGGGACCCCAGGCCTGGACCTCTCACACGCACTGCGGGCAGCATTTCAAGCCAGCTCCTGGCCCGCCTGGCTTCCCACCAGCAGGCGTGAGTGCCACTCTTGGGCCTGGTGTGGGCTACCTGCGCCACCATCACACAGGCTTCAGAGTCCTCCCTGGGGTTGTGGCTGGCCATGGAGCCAGCTGCCTGGCACCCTCTCCGCACCTCCAGGATCAGGTCCCCTCCCTTCAACAGTCATCCTTTGCCAGGGGACAAAAGCTTCCAGAAGCAGGGCCTGGACTGAACCCCAGCTCTGCTGCTGTGTGGGGGGCAGGCTTTCCTGAGCCCCCTTTCTCTTGTATAAAAAAGGCATGAGAGCCCAGAATGCAGCTGCAAGGCCCTGGTCCCATGGGCCACCATCCCCATGGCAGGCACCAGCTTAGAGCAGGGCCACTGGATGGGGAAAGGGAACATCTTGGGCTGCGCAGGGCAGGGACAGGATGGAGGGCAGGTTGCTGAGGCCTCACTGCCCCCCAACCCTTCCCTGAGCCCTGTCCTTTCCTGTCAGCACTGCCAAAGACCAGGACCCAGAGCATGTGATCCGTGTGAGGCCACCAGGGCCTTCTCTGGGCCACATTTCCTAACCAGCACCCCACTTCCATCTGCTGCCCACATCCAGGCCATCTTGAAGTTGTATCTGGGCTCTGAGTGCAAGGCTTTGGCTGCCTCAGTGGTGGCGTCCTTGAGGGACTCTCGGGGCTGCACTTCGGGTGCTGACCTGTGTGGGGCATTTCCCACCTCGGTCTCTGCGGATCCCACTCTCTGTTCACAGCACCAGCTGCCCAGAACCCGGGCACCTGGCAGGCTGCCTGGTAGGGGAGGGTTCTCACCAGCCTTGGTGGGGACAGGGATGGGGACACAGTGCTGTACTATGGATGGCCCGGGTCCCTCGCCTGTTCCAGGCCAGAGGGGCGTGGGTGCCGTGGTGCCACCTCACAGCCAGGTGCATGACCGCAGTGATTCATTATCCAGACTCCTTAATGATAAACCCAGAGCTGCATCCCGCTGGCCTGTGTGGTGCAGGGAGGGCTGAGCTGCAGCCCCAGCTCGGCTGCAGCAAAGGAAGTGAAGCATTGAACTGTGGGGTCCTGTGATGCCCTGACTCTGACCCAGTGTGGTGTCTGTGCCCACCTCACAAGGACCCCAAGCTGGTCTGGGTTGGTTGGGGCAGAGCGGACACGGACCTAAAATGCTCTGCTCCAGGGGCGCAGGTGCCAGGAGTGAGCCAGTAAGGCTTCACTCTCGGTACCTGCCTCTCCTCCCTGGGACGTGGGCAGCTCCCAACTTGGGCTCGGGGTGTCAGGTCTTCTGGGAGAAGAAAGTGGAGAAGATGCTGACCTCTAGGGCAAAAGGAATCTGACCCCAGCGGTCAGTGCTGGGGTCCTGGGAAGGGAGCTGGGGCCTCATGGGGACAGCAGTGCTGCCGTGATGCATGGATGCAGGGGTCCGACGCCTCCTTCAGAATCTGCTTCCTGGCAGAGCTGGTCACAGCAGTGGCCTGGGGGAGCAGGGACAGTGACAGCCTGGCAGGGCAGGCAGCCACTGAGCTGACCCGGGCCCTGGATGCTCTGACTTCCCAGGGGCTCGATCTCTGTATTTGCCAAGCGAGCCCTGGAGCACAGTGAGCCCTAGACTTTCAGCCTGGGCACTGCCATCCAGGGTGGCAGTGCTCTGGGCAGCAGTGGGGCCTGGTGACATGGAGAAGACGAGATGGGGCCCAGGACCTCCAGTTCTCTGAGCCTCAGTTTCCCCCCAGGAAATGGCAAGATGAGGGGAGGGTGACTTCATTGTGACTGGGAGGGTGCTCCGTGTCAGGGGACAGGGTCTGAGAGGCCATCTGTGCTTCACAACGCGAGAAAGCACTGTGGTCACCTTTGCTGCTGCTACGGAGCTCCACCAGCCAAGGGCCCTGACCACACAGGGTACACGGAAGGAAGTCCCTGCACAGGTTCTGGGCACTAAGTCTCCTATGAGAACGCGGGCTGAGCCGGCCCCAGCGCCTCGCTGTGAGGTGACAGCAAAGATTTGCTCCAAACACAATCTCTCCATACAGACCTTTCCAAGACCAACTGAAGCATCAGTAGGATGAAAACTAAACACACCGTTGGACTTAGAGTGGGCATATTTGTTCCTCCACATTTCCAAAATGGCGACACCGAGATTCACCGCGTGTTCAGAGTCCTCACCTTGGAAGCACAGGTCTCATCAAGGGTGTATGAGGCAAGTGCTGCCTCCTGGCAGCCATATTGTAAAATTCTTTATTATATGGACTTGGGCTTTAAAATATTCGTGTCTCAAAAATAGATACCAAAGATACCAAGTACTTTAGGACAAGAGACCATCTTGGTCATCCTTTATGACAACAGGTATTTTAAAAATGCTTGTGAGATTTAAATTAGGTTTTATACAGGAATTGCACACTAAATCACAATAATCACATCACTATCATAAAAGCTCAACCCAGAATAATAACAGAGTCAAGAGAAGCCCCGATAATGCCAAAGAAACTCAGTGGAACAGAAGTTCCACATATCCCGGAAATCAATCTTGTTCGCAGCTATTCTAACGGCAGTCCTGCCAAGTGCCCAGGATGCAGAATTGGCCACTAGAATTCCAATGAGTGGAGCTCCGTGCACCCTCGGATCTCCAACCATGTCTGCACTGAAAAGGAGATGGGAAGCCGCTCTGACCAGCAGGCCGAGGGGGTCCACAGACACCAGCATGAAGGACTGGTCCCTACCCAGCCCCAGGGTAACTGCAGAAGGGAGAAGCATGCGGCCACCTCAGTTCGCTCCTCCTGCCAAGGGGCTGCACCCTACACTGCACAGCTGGGTCCCCAGGGCCACCCCCTGCACCTCTGCAGACCTCGCTGCCCACTGTGGGGCCTCACTCTGACAGCATGGGGACGGACCAGGAAGCGGGGACAGACAGGAAGTGGGGACAGACAGGAAGTGGGGATGGACAGGAAGTGGGGATGGACAGGAAGTGGAATGGACAGGAAGACGCCCTTCCAGCAGCAGACCAAGTCACCTGCTCCACCCCAGCCGTGGTTCTGTCCCATACCATGTCATATGCTGCATGCCACACATTGCAAGCCACGTGTCACATGTCACAGTCACACATCACATGTTGTGTCACACCACACGCCATGTTATAGGTCGCATGTCACGTGTCAGGTCACATGTTTGTGTTGTGTGTCAGTCACACGTCACATGTCACCTGTTGTGTCATATGTCATGGGTCACAGTTTATGCCTCTCGTCATGTGTCATAGTCACACATCTTGTGTCACATGTTTGTGTTGCATGTCAGTCACATGTACATGATGCATGTCTATGTCATGTCTTATGTCACACACTGCATGTCGAATGTGGGTTCAGTGGGGAGCAGGGAGCCCAGGCAGTGCCGCCTTGTACCCCTGGCATGGCTCCTACCTTCCTGCACACAGATGGGCCTGTCACTGGGCACCCAGGCCAGTGTACCATTGAGCTGCTTCACACACAGCCTCTTCGTGGACCCCTTCAGCTTGAAGCCATCCTGGCAGTGAAACCGGGTCACTGAGCCCTCGAAGAAGACTGCTCCACTAGGGGACCAGAAGCCGTGCTCCAGGACGCCGGGGTCAGCGCACACGTGCAGCTCATCGAGCCCTGCGAGGATAGAGAGGAAAGGAGCCTGAACCCAACCCGCCACTCACACCCTGGGCCTCTGTGGCTCGCTCAGCCCTGCACTCTGTGTACGCTCTCCTGTGGAAGGCGCTGAGTCCTGCAGGGTGGTGACCAGTGAAACAAGGTCTAGCCCAGTCCCAGGCAGGGCTCCCCCCTCGCAGACATTCCCTCCCCTCCCTCTGTGCTGCCCAGGACCCTCCATCCTGACCTGCCCCTTCACTTCGTGCAACACAGGACATGTGTAGGTGGCACTGTCCCCTGGCCCTTGTCAAGGTGGACGGCAAGAAATCATGAAGCAAGGGCACACGGGCGGGGGGAACCGAGTCTGACTTGTCCTTACCAAGAGTAGGTCTGGACCTAGCACCTGCATCCACCCTGCAAAGGGCACTGGATGCAACTGGGGGTGGCTTTGCAGTTGGTTTTGAGGGATGTTCCCAAGGCCCCACCACCCGGATCAGGAGTGGGAAGCCTTTCAGTGTGCTTATTTTTAGACAGGTCTCTCTATGCAGTCCATGGTGATCCTCCTGTCTCAGCCTCCAGTGCATCAGCATTACAAGCATACACCGCCACACCCAGCTTCAATGAACCCTTTTAAACCTGAGGCACTAAGCTGGCATGACTGGCATCAAGAGCTCAAGGCCTGCAGGGTCCTGTGCTCCAGAACTCTGCAAGGACTCGTTCTCCGTCACCGAGCTCCAAGCCAAGCAGGGTGGCCGCTGCTCTGTAAGGGCTGGGTGGGGCACATGTGTTACCAGGTGACCATGGAAGGGCAGTGGGGCCTGCACTGGGGTGGGGTGAGCCCCCGGAAGGTGCCCAGCTCACCCCTGGGAGAGGAATGGAACAGCACAGGATGGAGACCTGGGTGGGGTTTGGGGCAGGGAGACAGAGGCAGGGCCCATGTGGCCGTGAACTCCTGCACAGCGACTAGAACCTCTTGGCTGCCTCAGGACCCACTGCTGTGTGCAGTGTACGGTGGCCACGCCATGGCACTGCTAGTGAAGACAGCGGGTGGGCAGGCAGGTGGCTGCGTGGCCCGGTGAATGGGTAGGTGGGGTGGACAGAGTAGGGGATGCTGGAGGGGCAGGTAAATGAATGGACAGAGACCTGGGCGGATGGGCAGACTTGGGGGTGGGCCGGTATGTGAGTGGGCAGATGAGTGGATGGTGGACAGACACACTGTGTAGGAACGGATGGATGGGTGGCTGGATGAGTGGAAGAAGCTGCAGGCCAACTACTCCGCCAGACCTACTGGGCAACCCTGCTCCACACGGACTCGCCTACTGCTCCAGAAGTGTGTGCGCTCTATTCCACAGGAAGAAGGGTGGTGTCAGGGCTCCTGCAGCACCCACACCCCCAATTCACACCGGCTCACCTTCCTCTCTTCTCCCAAGCCGAGCAGTCTGTGTCCTCAACTTTCCACAACCCTCTCCCAGTCCACAGCCCCAAACATATCAAGCCTCTCGCTCCCAGTACCGGGCCAGCAGTAGGACTGAGTTAGGGCTTGGGCTGAGGCTCCTGCACCTCCCCCAGCACCTACACACACGCGTGGGCATACACACATATGCATACACACACACATACACACACACTCCAACCAGGCACCCTGCTGATGCTGAGTCCTCCCAGGCATCCTGTCCCCATCCTTGGCCATGGAGCCCTTCCTCTGGGATGGATTACCGAGGGAGGCAGGGAGACGCATCAGGGGCACAATGGAACCTTCTCCCCGCTCCCCTAACCCATTCTGGCTGTCTGTTCACTGCAGAGCTCTGCCTGCAGGTCCAGCCACTGGCACAAGCAAGCGGGGATGAGGACCACGAGGACACTGAAGAAGGCATCCTCCACTCTGCACAGTAAAGCACCCCGAGGGCAGGGGTGGCTCCCTAAGGTCCACCAGATGCAGACTGAGTGGGTCGGTTCCCAGCCTGGCTGCTCCTTCACGGCATGATTCTGTGAGCCTGGCCCCATCCAGCAGTCCAGCTGTTTGGAGCTGGGACAGGGTGCAGGGCATGGGAACATGTGTGCATGCCCCTCAGGTACTGGACACTCTGAGGGCCAGAACTAATGGGTACTGTGCTGTCTGTGCAAGGTCTCTGGTGGGGATGCAGAGGCTCCATGCAGAGCTGAGCAGTCACTTGGCCAGCGTGCAGGGATGCTGGTCACTGCCGGCCAGAGGCCTGAGCAGAACAGGAGGCTAAGTGGAAAGGATTCTCTTATGTGGACTGTCTGCCAGCAGGGGTGGGGCTTCTCCTGCCTTTGGACCTGGGCCGTGGCAGAGCTCCCCTCATCTGGTTTTCCTGAATCTCCAGGAGGTGGAAGGAGGAAAGCAGGGAGAAGGAGACAGAGAGGGAGAGGGGGCGGGGGCAAGAGAGACAGAGACAGGCAGAGACAGAAAGAGACAGACAACAGATACAGATAGAGATACAGAGAGATGCCAGATAAAGGCAATGATAGAGACCCAGGGAGGAGACGTAGACACAGACAGACCACAGATGTGGATGTAGGTCGGTAGACGCAGTTACCCTCCTGTTGGTTCTGTTTCTCTGCAGAACCCAAACACAAGGTCTTCCTGAAAGGACCTGGCACTTACTACACAGGGGCAACTGGCTGTCCCCACTCCCAGGGACCAAGCTCAGGCACCGAGATGCCTCTGCTGGCATTTCCCTCGTGGGTCCTGGCACCACTGTGGTTGCACTGGTTTTCCTGCCTGGTAACCCAGACCAAGTTGAGGGTGAAAGGATTTTGCCCTGGATGGGAAGCTGCAGTGGTGGGAGGCTGGGAGGAGGAACCAAGGGGCTCTATCTTGAGGTCACCTTTCCCGCCCCTAGGCAATTTACCTGTGGCGAGAAATGAATTCCAATAGGCTACCTGTGCATCAGTAATGCCCCTTAGGCTCCACCCCAAACCTAAGCTACATATATGCCACCACACCACATGTCCAGCAGAGAGAAAGCCAGACCCTGCAGGTCATGGCGTCTCTCTCCACATTCTTAAAATAAAGGCCACTTTTATTTCATATTTCTTATCTTTTTAGCCGCGCCAAAAATTCTATCAGAGGGCAGAGCTGTAACTCAAACTCAGCTCTTGGTGGCAGGTGGGTCCTTTTGCCCTGAACCCCGTGAGTAGCAGAGACCAAGAGGCTCCTCCCACATGAAGCCTAACACCCCACAGCCCGAGCAGGGGTCACTGTGCTCCCCAAGCAGGGGACACCGAGCCCCAGTCTGGTTTTTTTCCAGCCCGTGGGAGCCTCTCAGACCTCTCACCGTGAGCAGTGTGCACAGAATCATGGAGATGAAAGAGGTGTGGAAAGCAATCTTGGGGCCATTATAACTGAGAAGTCTGAGTCTAGGAAAGAAGAGTGTATCAAACGTTGCCAAATCAATTTAGAGCGAGGGCTGGGTTTCCATTTCTCTGTAAACTGCTCTATGAATCTCTAGGGGGAGGAACAGGATACAGACACAAAAATCAATTCTTTATGCATTTAATCGGGTTGAGGCTGGGGCTGGCGAGCAGCGGCAGCCCTGAGATGCTGAAGCAGACAGCTTTGCAAATATTCAGGGGCATAAGATCGCCCCAAGTACATACCACAGGTTGACCCCACCTGACGGACGCCACCGTCAAGGTCAGCCAGCCTGACCCCTCGGCCACAGTGGTCAGCGGACTGGTCCAGCCATCCTGATGGCCACTTGTCATTAGCACTCCAGTCTCCACTTAGCCTCTTCCTTTCTGCTCAGTCTGAGTCAGACATGATCTTCCAATGCCATGCACTCAGACAATGCCGTCTTGGCATTTTCTGGAAGAGGCTGCCTCGTAGCCTCTGACCTGCCTGTCACTTGGGAGGGGACTACCGCTCAGGACGTGGGACCTTCGATGTGCGTCGGAGCCCCATCGCCATCGGGGCTGACTGGTGTCTCGGGTAATGCTTGGAGCCACGAAGGCTAGTGAGTGGGGTGAGGGACTGGCGGCTGCCAGGCAGGGGCTGCCGAGCCCAGTGCCAGGGGCTCTGTGTGACCGAGCCACCAGCATCTTGAGCACCTTGCTTTGTGATGTTGGCGTCGGACTTGCCGATGTGTGCCTGGGTGCACCGGATGAGAATTCCTTAATGTTGCTTCCCTCTCCCTCTTTATGCTGTGGGCAGCTTGTCAGAGATACAATGCCGCCTCAAATGGTTTCTGGGCATTCATCTCACCCTGGATGGGACAGGATGTTGGTAATGTGTTCCTTTAGGAAAATGAGCCCAGGTAGTTAGTGAGTGGTTCTGAGGTGGGGAATGGAAGGTGGGCGAGGGTGGGGTGGTGACGAGTGGTTGGGAGGAGACTCTCAGCAGCAGGCCCTCAGATACCCTGGCTGCTTCTCACAGCCTCTGCTCAGTAAGCCCAGGGTAGCACCCCCAGAGTCCTCAGCCCCAGGAAGCCTTGTGAAGATTGATCTTGAGTGGAGCACAGGGCTTGCTCCCTGGAATAAGGGCAGACTGGAGCAGGCCAGTGATGGCCTACAGCTTCCTCTGCACTGCTGGTGTTGGGGCAGTTGGGGAGAGAGCTCCCGGCTGGGGCAGCTTCCTGGGGCCAGGAAGTACTGCCTGCCGGACGTCTGGGGTTCAGTCGTGGCCTCCTGGGAATGTCTCCCTTCACCAGAACCACACTGAGAGCAGGGCCAGGGTAAGTGTCTAGACTTGTGCATGTCTTCAGTGATGTGTTGGCTCTGCCGCTCCTCACGCTGACACAGTGGGGCAGGAGGCCTCAGCTCCAGGGTGCCCCAAGGGTCACTGAGTGTAGACTCCAATGTCTGTCTGCTGGGCTCTGCCTCCATAGATATGGGAATCCAAATGCATGTAAACTGTTCTTTGTCTGGAGTACATAGCATTGGAAGATCATGTCTGACTTAGACTGAGCAGACAGGAAGAGGCTAAGTGGAGACTGGAGTGCTAATGACAAGTGGCCATCAGGATGGCTGGACCAGTCCGCTGACCACTGTGGCCGAGGGGT